GCAGGAAGGAGCCGGGGTTGTGAGCATGGGAATGGTACTATGTCCTTGTGAACCTTAGTCTCCAACCCTTGCTACCATCCTAGGAGTGGGGTAGAGTATCTTTATTTCACTCCCAGTGAGCAATGTTCACGACTCAGTCAGGGGGCATCCCTCTAAAGATACTTAAGCACAGACAGCTTAGCAGTGGGAAAGCAGAGAGCTGAGGCATAGCCTACGTCATGTGTGTTCCTGTGTGAGCTCAGTTGCAATGCTGGGGGTCCAGGCCAGACCTCTTGCAAGGAAGCAGAGCCACAGCCCTGATCCAGAGCTGCCACCCCAACGCAGACAAAGCTTAGAGTAGGGACTTTCCCGAAATGCCAGGCTTATTTCCTGGAGGTGGAAGAAAGGACAAAAAAAAGCAGATACTCAGACACTGGAAGGGAGGGGAGGGGAACAGTTGTGACTGAGGGACAGTGGAGGGGAACAGCTAGAAAAGAAGCTGGGAGGGGAGATGAGAAACCTACTGATGGTAAGGAATACCCATAGATGGTGGAGGGGAGGAATGAGAGAACCTCAGGAGAGATGAGAGGGAGAAAGAGAAAGGGAGGGGAGAGAGAGATAGAGAGATTGAAGCAGAGAATGGACTAAAGGCCAAGGGGCCCAGGGAGTTGGGGGCAGAAGGAACTGGCTGTGAAGACCCCATTCCGGGCAGCACAGGGGGCGGGTCTGCTGGCAGCAGCGGAGGCTGTTTCCGCTGCACCCCTTATCAGCCTGCTGCCAGATGTTCAGATCCGATGCCAATGTCAGAGAAGTCCATAGTGCTGGGTCAAGGCCGTGGCCAGCGGGAGCCTCAGCTGCATCATGGGGAGGGAGAGCTGGGGGCCTTCTCTAGACCTGCTGCCTTTTCCTCCTCCTGTGGCTCATCAGGCTGGACCACCTGGTGAGGGTGGGAAAGACCGGGTACTTCCCGGGGGGCTATTCTCTAGACAGAGAGCCAGGGCCTGTGGAGGTAGTGTCTGGAGACTGGCTGCACTGTCCCCCAAATATTGGAGGTAGCATGTTGACACACACACACCAGTACAGAACCACATAGGGACAACTTGGGGTTCATTTCAGAACTGTCCCAACCTGCTGGTGCTCCTGCTCTGCATAAGGCATCATGCCCATCCCTTTCCCATTCCCCAAACTTGAGCCAAGGCTGTAGTCAGATAAGTGCCTCTTGGTGCTGTTCCCAACACAATGTACTTAGAAGCTGCCTGTCCTCCAAGGAAGGCAGGGCCAGAGGGACCTGGGACCTTCTAGAATGAAGCCTGGTGGAACCCCTCCAGGTAGGGCAGGTGCCTGGGGTCTGGTGGTGCTGAACTGCCAGCCTTGGACCTGGGCCTCTCGTGCTTCTGGAGCGTGCAGCACAGCTGTGGCCCTTCCTGGTGCAGCTTATCTCAGCGTGCACACGCTTGGCCCTCAAGAGGTGACCCAGCCTTGCTCCCCACATTCCTCTCCAGTTTTGCAGCCGGTGGGCCCCCCACAGCTCTGAGACTAGGCTTGTGCTTGGGGGGGGGTAATCAGAGCTGCCACTGGGCTATGGCCCTGCTCTCCTGGACCTAGGCCACTGTGGGTACTGGTGGTGTCTCCTGGCTTTCTCTGTCTCTATGCTGATCAATCTGTTTATTCCCCTAACTTTCTCTTGGACTGTCTCAATTTGCTTGCTACTTTCAGTGTTCTAGTATGTTTTTCTTTGCTTTTTCTCTAGCGTCCTTGAATGAGACCAGATCTGCGACACCTCCGCTCTTCTGACTCAGTGACCATCCTCAATGGGAAAGTACAAGTAAAGTCAGTTCGTGGTGAGGGGACCAAAGGGCCCCAGAAAGGGGAAACCTGTCCTGGAGTAGTGGGGTGAATGGAGCAGCATACTTTCAGGCCCTGTTTTGCCCACCTAGGAAGCCATCCTTAGTAGGTACAAGAATCCTGCACTGGTGTGCTCCCCCATACAGTAGAGAAGGTTTGGGTGGGGGGAAGGGGAGGAAACTGGGGCTGGAGGTCTTGGCCTGAGGACCTCCTTCCTGTTTGTAGGGAAGTGACTGCCTCTGAAAGCTGCTGGGGGAGAAGAGGGAGGCCATGGTGACTTCCGGGAAGCTAGCCAAGGGCCTAAGGCCACCCTCCCCTGTGCCCGTATGGGGCCCTCCAGTCCTGGCTTAAAATAGTGCAACTCCTCCATTGATGTAGGATCCCGCCTGGACCTCAAAGGGCTGCAGTAATGGTTTTTGTGCCAGCAGGGGCTCTCTCTCTGTCTCTCTGTCTGTCTGTGTGTGTACCAGTTATCAAGTCCTAGCTAGACTGTAGCCCAAGGCTATCTTGGCCACAGGGAGGAGAAAAAACAGATCCCAAACCTAAAGCCTAGGATGCAAGTTTCAGCTCCTGCCCTGATCAGCTTTGTGACTTTGGTCTGGTGCCTGCCTGGCTTTCAGCCAAAATCAGGCAGAGCATGACCACCACAGAGCCTTCCCAGGCATAGATTTGGGCGCTCCTGCTGGCTGTATGCTTCCTTATTGCACTCTGTTATACCCGCATGCTCTTAGGACTGGGTGCAAAGCAGGGAAGGTTTGTGGAGAGGGAACTTGCAAGGAGGGCAAGGATGGGGCTGTGGTCTCCATGGTGAGACTTGTTACCAAGGGAACAAAGTCTCCACAAGCCCTGGGTCTGGCAGTTGGGCACTTTTGCCACAGGAGCTGGCAGGCTGATTGTCACTGCACCTAAACTCCTGATGGGCAGCCAGGCCAAGGCTAGGCCGAGCCGAGAAGAGGCTCCTGGCTTTGCTGGGCCTCTGCTGCTCAGGTGGAGGGGCTGCAGCACACAGCCTCCTTGTACGGATGGACTTCAGTAAGCCCTTAGAGCTAACCATTATCATTCCTAAATTCCTGTGCCATGGACAAAGCAAGTGGGGACCATGGAGGCATCTATCTATCTGGGTCAGTGTTAAATACCACCGTGGAGATGAGCTGAGACCCCTTGTTGATGTTCCCCACCTCACAGGTTGCCAAAGGAAGTAAACCCTGGAAAGGACCCTTGCAGCCAGACCACCCACCCCACCATCATTTCTGAATGTGTCTGGTTTTCCTGATGGAACCTGGAGCAGTCAGCTCCCAGTGCTGGCTGCACAGATATCCTTACCTCCAGCCTGGTGAACTCAATGAACATATTTCCAATAGGCACTCGTGAGTGCCCCCTAGTTAGGTCACCTATGCAAATTATTTACCCTCTCTGGGCTTCAGTTTTCTTATTTGTAAAATGGAATTACCACAACACATACCTCACTGGGTTGCTCTAGGGAGCAAGTGACCTCATGGATGTCACTATAGTCTATGTCACTTATTTTGGTGCTAAAGCTAAACCTGGGGTGTCACACAGAGCTACACTCCTCAATTCTTCCTTCTTCCTAGACAGTCACCTCATACCCCAGGAAGCTTACAGTTCACAATTACTTAAGAAGTCACTTAGATATTTGGAGAGCACTGTCCTAAATTTTATCCTATGGAATGCTGACCCAACAGAACTTTCATGAAAAAAAAAAAAGTAAATCAGATGATCAAGTATTTTGGCACAACTTGGTTGGGCTAAATGGTAAGACTTCCCACAGCCTTGGGAGTCTGGGAGGAAAACAAAGAGCATGGCACCTTCCTAGTTCCTGGCAACAGACTGTCTCTTTTTTGACAGGGCCTTCATCAGTGGCCCATGTTCAGTGGCCCATGTCCAGGGTCTTGGGGACATCATTGCTTTTCAGCCCATTAGGTCTGGCTTGCATATAGTTTACAGGATGACTCTTTCGCTGGTGGGTTTGTTTTTGAATAGTGGAAGGTCCAACCGAAGGCCGTCTGTTGCTAAGCTTTGTTACAGACTCCATTTGTGCTCAGAACTGCTGAAGGAGCAGGGAGGACGCTGTTGTAACTTTGCTATCAGATAGACCTGGATTCAAAAGCTAATTCTGCTGCTAGTTCATGTGTCATCTGAGCCAGTTTGCTTCAGAGCAGGTGGCCATAGGGCGTGGCTGTCACTAGGCAGCCAGTACACTCCCTTCTTGTGCCTGTTTCTATCTGCTTCCTCTTGAAGACAGCCTATTACCTCCTTCTGCTGTGGTCCCTTTGTTTCAAATCACCTCTTTCAAGCCTCAAGGGCTCTTTGGTACCTTGGGCTGGGCATGGAGCATAGAAAGCAGCTGGGTGTCCCTGTTTCACGCATAACAATTTAATAGACTGAGGAGACGCCTCAGGCTTTATCTTGCCATTGGGGAGTCTCCCTCTGTCTTTTCAGGCGACACCCTGCCTAAGTGTGTGAGGACTTTGGAACTGGTACATCTGGGTCATGTCCTTTGACTTTTCAGTCACTATCTGTCACAACCTACATAGGTTATAAAGAAGTCATGCTGGCATTCTGGAGTCATCACGCAGCACCCTGCTGCCCCTGACACAGCTGAGCTTCAGCAGATGACTTCTCCCGAACCCTCAACTACGTCCAGCGGTGCTCTTCCCCAAACTCTTTTGCTTTATAGGATCTTGGAACCAGCTGCAGTGGTGTACAGTTCTCATCCTGGTGACTTTCAGAACCATTCTCATCAGGGAAGCCCCTCCTTTAGTTTCTTACTACCTATCCCCATCCCAAGTCACAACGTTCCTCACAGTACTTCAAAGGTCTAAGTAGCTCCCACCAGGCTATCCCGTAGTTGTGCTTTTTTTTCTGGCTGTGAACCTTATGCAAGTTTTCTCACCATTCTCAACCTTAGTTTCTTCATCTACAAACCGAGACAATAGTCTTGGAGTAAACCTAGTCCTCCTGGTGGTCTAGGTTTATGAAAAAGCAATGCAGTGCCTGGCATACAGCAGGCACTCACTGGTTTCTGAAATTCTAGAGCAGACCATTCTCTGCCAGGCTCTCAGCAACAGAAATGCGTGGTGCTGGCTATGAGCAGAAGTTCATGCCTCAGGATACCCCCTCCCCCAACCCCAGAAAAGCTTCACAGACACATGGCATGTGCAGAGGATTCACATTTATTGGTTCAAATACAGTACCTAATGCTTGCTAAACATGCATTTCACACTAACTGGTCACATTTCCAAAGGTAGTCAATTCACAGAACAAGGCCCACCCCTTGCCAGCAGGCAAGTGTGGGAGGTAGCAGAGGGCCTGAGCAGCCTGCAGAGCCCGCCAACTATCATTTGGTCATGCAGGGCTGATGGAGCCAGGCTGGCAGGCAGCCCTTGGCCAGCCCTTTGGGAACAAGGGCTCAGAGACATCCTATTCATCCGATTCCTGCTGTGGGAGGACTGGGAGGTAGCCTAAGGTAGGCTCGTGATGCACTTGCCATCAGAGCTCCTGAAACCCAAGCTATGGAGCATACATAGGAAGGCCTCTTCCAGGGGTGGCTTGTCCCTAGCTGGGCAGGTGGGAAGAACTCCTCAGATACTGCCCAGACATTACAATACAGCCACAAGCCCCTATCGCAGGCCTGGGATGGCAACACAGACAAAAACACCAACAGTCCAGGGTTTCGTTCCCGACAGAAACATGTAAACAGCATGGGAACCACAGACTCCTCAGAGAGGAATCGACCAGGATGTCACTCAAGAGGTAGTTTCTTTCCCCCATGGAAATTTGAGTCAAAAACATTATCACCTATTATATTTCTGCTAAGAAAAAGGTCACCAAAGAGCAAGAGAACCCTTTGGCTGGCAGCGCTGGCTTCAGGGTCTGGAAAACTAGCCTCCCCCAGTAGCACATTTTTCTTGGGTTTGCAGTAGGCTTTCCCACAGCTTCCATTTAAGCCTCCAACTGATACCCATGCAAGCTGGTGTCTGTTAGGACTGCAGCCTGAGAAGAGGACTGGTCCTGGGCAGAAGGGCCAGGCCTCCCAGGAGCACCATAGAAGCTCACGTGCAGGATGGTTGGAGTCTTGAGGAAGCCCAGACCTAACCAAGGAGGCAGCCTGCTTCCAGCTCAGTAGACTGTGGCTGCGCCCTGAGGAAGCACTCAGGGTTTGACTCCAGGAAAGATGTCACTTGTGGCAGCCAAAAGAGGGCTTTCTGGGGACCCTGTAATTAAATACACATCCCTGAGCTGTGGTCCCAAAAGCGCCTGCTTCAAGGCTGACCAGTTTCCAGCACCTGGTGGAATGATTGCCGTTTTTCATCCTAAGAGACAGATAAAACACTACTTCACAGACACTGGGCGTGAGGAAAAGGGAGGAGGACCAATGGCAGAGGGGCGTGTGGGTATTCCCATGGACCAAGGTGGGGGAGTCAGTTAATGGGTTTTCTTTCTTTCTAGACTTTAAAAAAAAAAAAAATCAAAGTTTAATAGAAGAACTGGTCAGAAAGGATAAATTTCTTAAAAACTGCAATTTAAAAATTAAAAAGTAACAAAAGAACAGTGTTGCAGAGGCAGAGATACAGAGCAACTGCTCAGCTTTCTGCCCTAGGGAGGCCAGGGCCCCTTTAGTTTAGCTAACCTTGGCCACAACTTAAAGACTGCCTTCTGCCTATCCGTCCCATCACTCAGGAAGTAGTCAAGAACAAACAAGAGAGGTGCAGGGCAGCAGGCTAGACAGCTGGCTCACTTCCCTGAATAGTGGGGCAAGTCAGAGGTAGGCTACGTGTGGAACGGGCAACTCTGGGTGATGCTTCTATGTTCTCCTCTCCCTCCTGACTCTATGATGGCCCCTTCAGCTGTCCTACGCCAGGCGGAGGGCTTGGAGAGGAGTTAGTTGTAGGGAATTTCTCCAAACTAAGGGCGAGACCAGCAAACCCCGCAAAGGACACTGAAGGTCTCTAATGGGAGCCGGAGAACAACTACAAAGCTCCAAGACTCCAAACACACAAGAAAAGGAAGGGGATGCCTTTGTGTCCTGGCATAGTGCAAGAAGGCTTTTGGGGCTTTATTTTTTATGGTGGAAAAATTCTCACTCAAAGTGAGTACTTTTAGTGGCCAGGATCAGAGAGGGTAGAAAAAAGAATGAGAAATAATGTGCACAAATTTTTCCTTTTTCCACTAGCAAAAAGGCTGCCTGTTCACCAAACATTATGGGAAAAAAAGGCAAAAAAACAAGCACACCAAACCTCCCCCTCCAACCTTTCTCTGTGTCCTTCAAACCAAAATCACAAATACATCTAGTGGCTGACCTAATGTCTCCACGCTGCTAGCTGCACTCCTCCCTCTCCTCACCACACCTGAGTCTGCAGCACACTCACTTTACCCTGTTTAAAGATGCCCGTGTCATAAAAGGACTGGGAGCAGAAGACATTAAAGGCGGTCCACAGGTCAGGCTCCAGCTCAGAACACACAGCCACTTGGCTCAGAGATTCTGCAGGGCTCTTGGCAATGAATGGGCTCTTTGTTCTGTGGAATCTGCTGCAAACATTTGTAAAAATGGATTTGTACGATGGCAACTTGCAGACCCTTTCCCCCACTCTACAAATTAACGACTTGCTCTGTTTAATACTACATTATTGGAGAGACATATTCCTGCCTCATCAGAGCTCTGACATTCAACACACCAGGTAAAATGCTAATTTGATAAGCAATTTCAAAAATTAACAATTTGACAAATGGAGGTCTATGCAAAGAAAGCTGCTGTGCACAGGCACTGTCTCTAGGAGGTGTCTCTGATTCCTAGCTTGAGGAAAGTAGCTGAGACTCTGACCTGGAGCCAAAGAATGCGATCTGCTTGGTTAAATGCAAAAATTCAGGCAAACAAGAAAAATATTGTGATCTTAGAAACTAAAAGACACATCAACACACATATCTTTCTACCAACATGTGAAAAACATTCTGTCCGGTACTTTCCTGAGAAACACATCTCTTTCTTTCTCTCTCAGACTGAGAAGTAACGCTCTGAGCTTTGGACATCAAGAGACATTGAGTGTCACTTTGCTGGTACCCGTAACATTTTACTAGAGAGAAAAACTCTAGTGAAGACTACTTAGAATACACAGGATGCAGCAGCCTCCTGGGTAAGTGAACTAGGCTTCATTGGGGTAGAGTAAACAGTTCCTGACCAAAGAGGCTCAAGGAGATGCTGTGGATGCAACAGGCCAGCCAAGGGATGCACCGGTAAAGCAGCTGTCTGGGGGCAACAACTGTAGGAAGGCCTGCTGAGGGCAAAGAAAGGAAAAGCAGCTCAAACAATTCTACGACAAGCTAGGTGTAGCCTGAGCCGAAGTCTGGAGGCAGGAACTTTTCCTAGAATGAGGTGGGCAGGCAATAAAGCACAAGGGCTCTAGGCTGTGTCTGCAGAGGCAGTAGGGAAGCCCTGAGACACATGAGGTAGTTTAAAGCCCCTTTGCCTTCCAGGTACTTCTGGGTCCACCCCTCTAGGCCTTGGTAGACAGACCACGGATGAGAGTTGAAGGAATAACTGGGCATCTCTGGGTCTTGGCTTTCTGCTCTAGAGCTCTGGTATACTGATCTCATTTTGGAAATAACAGGAGAGCTTACAACAAAATTTAGGAGCCAAGTATCTGGTTCTTTCTACTGTTTAAAAATGGCAGTTTTAGCCACGCGGTGGTGGTGCACACCCTTAATCCCAGCACTCGGAGGGAGAAGCAGGTGGACCTCTGAGTTTGAGGCCAGCCTGGTCTACAGAGTGAGTTCCAGGACAAAAGGCTACACAGAGAAACCCTTTTTCAAAAACAAAAACAAACAAACAAAAAAAAACCCAAAACCAAACCAAACCACCACCACCACCACCACCACCAAAATACAAAAACTAAACAGGTTTTAGATTTCGTTCTAAGGATAAGGTAGGGTGAGAACAGGGGCTTCCAAAGGAGTCTATTCTTTCAGCAGCCTGGCCTTCGTCCCTCTACCCTTTGAGGGAAACAAGTTAAAGGAGAACAAATGAGAAGTGAGAGAACAGGGCATTTTTCTGTTACCTTTCTAAAGGACAGGGAGTCAAATCCATAGGAGGAGGGATAGAGTCTAAAGAAGGAAGGCTTTGGTAGACCTGGGTCAGGAGACTGGGCAGCTGGGAGGCAAGTCCTACAGACTGATTTACAGCAGGACTCTGCCTGGACGAAAACCTGACAGCAGCATTCAACAGACAACAGTGTGTGGGGTGGGAGGGTGCAGCAAAAGGGAGGAGCACAAGTTTCTGCCCTTTGGGCTTGTGGGATGAGGTGATGGTTAATCCTCATCAAACACTGAGGGTTAAAATAAAACCTGCTTCTCAAACGTCCTGCCCACCTCTCTAGTAAGTCTCCCTGTACTGTTTTGCTCCTTTGGCATATTTCTCTGGGGCTATAAAAAGGCAGCCAGTTCTCGAACAGACAAGCATATGTCCGCTGAGAAACTGTGGAAAGGTAGGGATGGTCATATCCCTGTTTCCATTGAGGTAGTTGTCTTTGTCAACATTATGGGAATAGTCGTCTACTCCATCCCACCCTCTCCCTCAAAATACAAAAGAACTATCTCTAAACAATGACAACACGGTAACATTAAACATCTTCACATTCTGTAAACTGCAAGGAAATGCATCTGCTGCATTCACACAAAAGCATGTGCATCATGTTGAAGGCCATACATTCAACTCTGTCGTGAAATAAATATATAGAAAAATGAGGTTAAAAACAGACAAACAAACAAATTCTTGTGATGGAGGCAGCTGCTCCACAGTCTCCATCTTGGTCTCTCTGGCTCTTTCCTCTGGAGCCTGTCCTGCCCACCCAAGGCACTGCTGGCACCCGAGGCAGTGCTGGGAACAGGTCACTCCTTCACTGCACTTGTCTTGCAGGAATGCAGCACCACCTTAAAGAGGAGGGGCAGCTGTTCCAGGGGCACATTCACCATCTTTCCTGGATAAAAGGGAAAAAAGGCGTTAGCAGCGGCTACCAGCTAGGGAAGGAAAGCCAGTTTTTCTCTTCTCAGGCTGCTTAATCTTGGTGCAGGACAAAGGTAAGACAAGTATCAGGAGTACTGGCAAGGTCATAAGGGTTAGATAATGTCAGGGTATCTAGGCTCACTCTTCCATATGCTACACTTGTTCTATGCCAGTTAGTTCAAAGCATTGTCTCATTTAGACTCAATGTTTCTGTAATTGCCTTTTACCCCCTTTTACAGCCAAGGCTCTGAAATGGACAGGGAGTCCTACCGAGCTCTTTGTAGCTAAAATACTATAGGGAACTTGCTTCCTGCAAACTCGCTAACATTCTATAAAACACTGTTCTTCAAAACACAATAACTGATTAATGCAAGTACTAGAGAAGTAGGGGGAAGAGTTACAGAGGCAAATAAATTCGAAATGCCTGGAGATAAAAGAGTTTGACAGGTTTTTGTCACTGACGATCTCTCAGAGCATTAAGCATACAAACAGTGAAAGTAAAATATCTAAGGCTGTAGTTCTCCCTGTCAGTAACTCAGAATGACCTGGAGGGCATTGAGAAAATACTGATATTTGGGCTTCATCCCATACTGATGAATGTCTGAATACTCCAGAATGTCTGGAGATGAAAAAACAAAAACAAAAATCAAACAACAACAACAACAAGCCCTACTAAACTAAACCAAACCAACCAACCAGCCAACCAGCCAAACAAACAAACAGAAAATGAAAACACAACAACAACCACGAAAAGCTGTTTTCAAAAGCTTTCCAGGGCCGGGCGATGGTGGCGCACGCCTTTAATCCCAGCACTCTGAAGGCAGAGGCAGGCGGATCTCTGTGAGTTCGAGACCAGCCTGGTCTACAGAGCTAGTGCCAGGACAGGCTCCAAAGCCACAGAGAAACCTTGTCTCGAAAAACAAAACAAAACAAAAACAAAAACAAAAAAAAAAGCTTTCCAGGTGATTGAAAATACGGCCAGGTCTAGTTTCTATCTGCCAGACTGCTCTATGGCTCAAGAAATAGAGAAAAAAATTCTGTCAGACTGACATGTTTAGTGTGGAATATCTGTACACTATATGAAGATATAGTGCTGTGATTGGTTCAATAAAAAGCTGAACAGTCAATAGCTAGGCAGGAGGTATGGGAGGGACTTCCAGGCAGAGAGAGAGGAAGTAGAAGATAATCAAGATGCAAAGGAGATGCCAACTGGAGAGAGGCGGACATACACAATGAAGGAAAGTTAAAAAGCCATGAGGCAAAACATAGATTAATATAAATGGGTTAATGTAAATTACAAGAGCTAGTGGGACAAGCCTAAGTTAAAGCTGAGCTTTTATAATTAATAATAAGTCTCTGTGTTGTTATTTAGGGCTGGCAGCAGAAAACAAAGTCTGATTATATATGTTTTCCTTCAAAAATTGCATTACTTGGGTGATGGAGAGATGGATCAGCAGTTAAGAGCACCGGCTGCTCTTCCAGAGACCCTGAGTTCAATTCCCAGCAACCACATGGTGGTTCATAGTCATCCATAATGAGATCTGGTGCCCTCTTCTGGCAGAACGTTGTATACATAATAAAGAAATAAATCTTTAAACTTGGCAGTGGTGGTGTGCGCCTTTAATGTCAGCGCTTTGGAGGCAGAAACAGGCAGATCTCAGTGAGTTCAAGGTCAGCCTGGTCTACAAACTGAGTTCCAGGACAGTCAGGACTACACAGAGAAACCCCGTGTGTGTGTGTGTGTGTGTGTGTGTGTGTGTGTGTGTTTGTGAGTAAAACCTTAAAAAAAATTTTTAAAAAAATTGTATTACTGAATTTTACAGAAACAATCCCAGTCTAAACATCATTCCACTGAGTGCTAGACATAGAAAAGAAGAATCCTCATATATGAAGTAAAGCAACAACAAAGAGCCAAGGTTATGCACTGGAACAGACCTATTAATTGTCAAGAGCTTAGCAGAAGGCTGAAGCCACATACAAATTTCCTTTGTAAACACAGCTCTATAGTGCCAATTTATATGGTACAATTCTACAAGACAGTTTCTGTTGTTGTTTTGTTCAAGACAGGGTTTCTTTGTGTAACAGCCCTAGCTGTTCTGGAACTAGCTCTGTATACCAGGCTGGCCTCAAACTCACAGAGATCTCCTGCCTCTGCAGGAGTTCTGGGATTAAAGGTGTGTGCTACCACCATCTGGCAAAACAAGTTTTTTAAATTGATATATAACTTGCATATAAAATTCATTATCTAAAAGTATACAGTTCAGGACATGAAGTGGAGATACTGAGCTTGCTTTCCTCATCCACAGAACAGCTGTACACCATAGGTGCTTGGGAAATGGAAGCTTCTCTTTTCTAAGAGGAAACACTAACTTTCTATTCCAACAGAACTTTTCTGGTAATGGGCCTAGAATGAGCATCTATAAGCCTTGTCATCTCAGCCTGTCGCAAGCTTGGAGAAGCAGGGAGGATCCTGGACCCAGAATATTACCTGCAATGTACCGGATCTCTGGCAAGCACATCATAAGATCAGGAAAGCGATTTGGTTGATGTGTGTATTTATATTCAGTGAAATCCTGACAAATGTACCAGTACCGCTTATTCAGTTGTTCTAGTTGTGAGGCACTGGTCAGACCCCTGATATCTGCAAACAAAACAAAATAAAAATCACACAGGGAACAAACAGGATGGTAAACACCAGATTTTTTTTTTTAAATGAGACATTATTAAACACAGTCATAAAAAAGATCTTTTCTCCTTCTAATGTGGAGAAAGTAAAATCCAGACTCGGTAAATAAGATAAAAATAAATACAAAAAGGGACCTAAAGAGCAGTCCTTTGTCTGAGCCCTAAGTGCTGAGCTGGTTATCTCCACATTACATCGAGGTCTTAATACAGGGTATGGTGCACAAACAGGCACGAGAGAACATGGAACAAGGGGCTAGCTCTTTACCCAACAATACTTTGAACTGGAGGTTATCAGAAACATTGGTGATACCATCTCCAGCGTGCCTGTGTTCTTACCATCCTGTCTTGACTGTAAGTATGCATGTCTCTATCTAAAGTACAGAAGAGGAGTAAAGCATACTGTATGTAAATCCTACCCAGTCTTTGAGGTCCGCACAGTTCTCCTCCTCTAAGAAGTTGCTGCTCATCTTCCCCACATGCAGTACAATTCATGTGTTGAGTACTATCGGAGTGTATACTCTTCAGGGACCTGGTTTGTTTTCTTTCTCCTCCTTCCTAACCCCTGCTAATATCTTTAATATATGGTACAGGGCTTGGCTAGAGAAGGCATGTAGGTCACCTGATAAATGCATGGTGATATACAGACAGGAGTAGGAGTCTGTCAGTTACTAGAGGGCAGAGTGGGGGAGCAGTGATAACAAGGCAGGCATGATCAAGAGTCTCTGGATTGGAAAACTGAAGATAGTAAGACAGCACTTTCAAAGTCACAGGGAACAAAACCACACAAGCCCACTCTGGGAATGGGACACTCATACACTACTTTTGATAAAAACAAAACAAAACAAAAAACAAGAACACACCAATTTTCCTATATATATTGATTACCAGCAACTACCACATGTTACTTGTTGGTGATGTGCCCAACCTGACTGGACTCTTCTAACAGAGGAGTCATGTGTACCAGCACTCTTCCTGGAGCATCAGAGCAGCTGCCAGCATGTCAACCACCGGCTTATCGCCAGCAGTTTCATCAGTCACCCTGCTCTTCTTCAGCTGCTGGTAAACTTGGTACATATTTTAAATGACGCATGTTCTGTCCTTGGTGTCTGTGTTTAATGCATTAAAACTGACTAAACAAAGCAAATCCTCTTCCTTCCTCTGTGAGTTATAGAGATTGTGGCATTTAGATTTCAAGAGAAAAATCCAAAGCATTCCTTACACTGCAGAGGATCAAGTAGGGTGATGACTAGGGGGAGCACAGGGCCTTCCAAGACTGATGATCATGTGGTGTAACAGATTCTGTGACAGTCCTGGAGGTGGGAGGTGGGGGTGGGGCAATGGGGAATTGTACATGTGTGACACATAAAACAAACTCCTGTCTTCACCCACCACCTACTCACCTTGATTCAGGAAGTTAATTGCTTTCATGCATGCATACTCCTCATTGCTGACCTTCAGCTGATGGAACTTGTGATATAGGTAGATAAGCCGTTCAATCACCTCCATCCCTTCATCACTAAATCTAGACAACAGATAAAGGCTTTTATCTGGGGTGCCAATACGAGCAAAGGCCAGTAAGGGGACACAGAGGTTATCTATGATAGGAAAGAAACTCCACTTGGGGGAAATGTCACCCACAGGAAAATCCATGCTCTGTTTGGCAGCCAGTGTAGATTCTGCAAGATGCTGTTTCCAGGGTTGGGCAGAGTCAAGTAAAACCAGGTTCAAATCCAACTGCACCACACAAAGCTCTGAGAATTTAGGAGGGTTATTTAATTCCTGTAAGCTCTGAGATCTCCCTCTGCAAGATGTTTACCTGCTTATGCTAAAGGAAATTTGGGATAGAAACTGAGAAGAATGTAACAATATTAAGATAGAGCTTTTGTCTGTATCAATGACAGCTGCCATGGCGACTCTGAGAGCCGCAGTCACGGTGTGGAAAACGCTTCTAGTTCTGTTCATTTAGGTTCACTATTTCTAACAAGGCTAAGATAATATACAATCCAACAATCTTACTGGCGTCCCTGACTCAGTTCCTGGGGAAGGAAACACTTGCTGAGTCTTTCCACCACAAGAGCCTTGTACTGAGCACCTTCTGTCCATTCTTAACCCTATGAGTGACGGGAAACAATCACTACATCAACACAAGAGGAGAAACTCAAGTTCAAATGGAGAAGGGACTGGCCCAACACACAGCCAGTTATTGGTGCGATGAGAACCTGGAGCCTGGGCTAGCTTCCCAAAGCTCTTCCAGTCTCTGTTGGTCTGCTTATGCAGAACAGAGCAGACAGGTTTCTCCAGCTATTTACATATAACTTCTTTCCACCTGATGAATTCATATATGACCCCAGGGATATGGGTAATAAAATAGGTATACAAATCCAACATTAATAGTAAACCATAGTGAAATTCATTTTATTCATTTATATGTTGGTGTGTATGTGTGTGTACATGTTCATGTATGTGTGTAGGGTAGAGGTTGACACTGGGTGTCTTTTACTATTGTTCTCCACTTTATATTTGGGGATAACAGTCTCTAGTTGGATTTGAACCTCATTACTTGGCTAAACTGGCTGGCCAGCAAGTTCTGGGATCTGTCTATCTCTGCTTTCATTCAGTGCTATGGTTATAAACATTTCCAGATTTTTATATGGGTACAAGTACCTAAACTTAGGGGTCCTCCTACTTACATAGCAAGGATTTACCTACTAAGCCAGTCCCAGTAAATTTATTTATTTATTTTTAATATTTATTTATTTATTACATATACAATATTCTGTCTGTGTGTATGCCTGCAGGCCAGAAGAGGGCACCAGACCTCATTACAGAGAGTTGTGAGCCACCATGTGGTTGCTGGGAATTGAACTCAGGACCTTTGGAAGAGCAGGCAATGCTCTTAACCTCTGAGCCATCTCTCCAGCCCCAGTAAATTTATTTTAAGACAGCTTTTTGGCATGTAATTTTATCATTTACTAAAGATAAAATCAAATTTGCAGACTAATGAGATGAATATGCTTATTACTTTTACATGAAGAATTAAGTTGCATCCAAGTATTCAACACTGCAGGACACACATCAAAGTTTATCAGAGTTAGTTAGTTAGTTTGTTAGTTTGTTTGTTTCTTTCTTTCGACAAAGTATTATCATTTATAAAGAGGTGGTGGTGGAGCAGCAGCAGGTCACCGGAGGCCTGGGTGGGAGACAAACAGATAGAAACACTACGTATGCAGACAGAGTTTGGGTATAGAGTCTATTTAGTGGGTTATGGAGGGGAAAGAGAAGAGGAAGGGGGAAGGGGGAGAAAAGAGAGAGGCAGAAGCAAACAGAAGAAGGGCAGATGGCGGGGTGGGGGGAGGGAAGGAGAGAGGAGAGGGAGAGAGAGAGAGAGAGAGAGAGAGAGAGAGAGAGAGAGAGACCAGCTGGCCAGCAGATTATACAAAGTCTCACCATATATCCCTGGCTGGCCTAGAACTCACTACATGAAACAGACTGGTCACAAACTCAGAGCTCTGACTGTGTGCGTATATATAATATATACATATATAATATATAGGTATATCTATATATCCATATCATCCTAAAAAAGTATATTAATCAGAATCTCCTTTCACAGGAATTCTTACTTTCCTGACAACTTGTGAGATGAACCATATTTCTGTATTAGGATAAGGGTGTAGAAAGAGGTGACTCTCTCAGTTACATAGTAAGAAAAATCTTCCCCAATCCTGTCAAATTCTTAAGTGCTACCTGAAAAAGGCTGCCACATGCTATCCTGTGAAACCTTAAGAGCTTTATGTTCCCACAGCAACTCATCCTGGGGCCTGACCCTAGGAAGTGATGGGTATGATGGGTATTTCTGCATAACTAGCTTGATGTGCCTTCAAGGAAGCAGCATGCCCAGGGGTGGAGACCACTCCTTATAAAAGTACTTGCTGGCTACTTAAGTTCTTGAGAGAGAAAGGGCCTTAATGGTGGTTCCCTGAAGTATATGCATGGAGGAATTGTGATATGCTGAGGTGGGACATAACAAATAAGACGGGGGGGGGGGCGACGACAGACAGAGCTGACATCTGTCTGGTGGTCGAGCAATGCAGGAAGCACAAATAATACTCTGTCTCTTAATCAGCCCCAGACCTCACTATGGCACGGCAGGACCTGCAGGTGTGTGGCTATCATCCAGACTCTGAGCTGGCAGCGCCAAATCTGTTCCTGGCTGTCTTGGCCTGGGGGACACAAAGGAGCTCTGAAGTGCTTGGGCCTGTACATATGCCCAAGCCCTGCTCTTTCTCTTGGGGACAGCACACCCCTTCTTCAAATACCTTACAAGAAGCAGCCATCATAGTTCCTTGGCAGTGGTCCCCACTCAGTCCCCACAACTTGGCTGCAAAGCTTTCCTCCACACCCGCATCCCACCCTTTGATAAACAGAGCTGTTCTCTGTTCCACAGGCCTGCTTTCTCCTCCAGCCGTTCCTCCTCCACATCTGCCCACTCCACAGTTCTGACGCCCCTGTATTCCCTGTCTACAAATTATCAGCACTCAAAGCCATAAAGTTGAACAAACACACCCATTCTTCTCTTAGGTTCCTATCACACAAACATTCTAGGACAAAGAAAACATTCCTGCCAGGATCCCCCAAACCACTGGACCATTCAGTCAGCAATTGAAGCTGACACTATGTAAGTTATATACCAACAAGGGGCAGAGAGGAACGACTCTCTTTCCCATTTATCTCAATGTACCCTCTTCGGCAGCAGTCAGCAGCAGCCACCTTCACATCCACATACAAGCCAGATTACAGCTCCAGGATGCGTTCTACAAAGTCCTTCCTTCTAAGAATCTGGGATAAGGTAATGGCAGAGAGCTCTGACTTTGAAGCACAACAGACCTGCATAGGAATCTTAGCTCCGTCTTTTTCTACCTTTGTAGCCCTGCATTTTCTTCACTCTGAAATTCAAGGTCCTTATATCTAAGTCTCATAGGATGGCAGCAAGGACTCAACAGCAATGTAAGTAAAAACAATGATAAAAACTGGTGCAACAAATTCCATTGATCATTACACATTCACAGTATCACTATCATTGTCATTCTCCTGTAATAAGGAGAGAAAAGACTGTTTCCTGAGCCTGAGAACTAGTCAAAAGTGCCCATTAAAGCCCATCTAACTCTAAGCATCTTCTCCAGGGAGTGAAAGGGTATTGATTAGGGCTGGGAGCGGTCCCCGGCTGGTGCTACAATCTGCTTTAAATCACATTTGTCCACCTCTGTGTCTGATAACAGTCTGATGAGGAGTAGGCACCATAAACTTGATTCAGTATTAAGAAGAGAAAAGGAGCTGGTCGTGCATCATCTGGGAAGCCTTTTCCTGACAGCAGGCACTCACACTCAGGAGCTGTGAAGAAGCAAAGACTGCCTGGGGGAGTAGGAGTAGAACAGCAAAGGAAGAAAGAGCTATGGCCAATTAGACTCTACACCCTGGGGACGCTTGGCAGTGATTCACCTGACTCCAGAGGCTCAACTTCGAGATCTTATGACTTCACAGGCACCCAAGTCAAACACAGAGTGTCTTACGTCCTCCATCATGCTCTTCCTTGATGCTTCGTCCTGGCTAAGACAACGTGTGCCCACTTGCCTAGCAACTACTCACAGCTTTCCTTACTTACAGACATCCTGCTGACGCCTTGCCTTTGACACTGCTAGCTTGGCGTTGTCCTCTCTTTCCATATCACTGTTCTGTCCTTCAGGCATTCTCTGCCTTTCCATGGACACAGAGTAGCCTCTTGTTCAACCATGCTCTAGTCTTAACAGCCACAGAACGCTTTCTCAAATGTAAACCACCCAAGTAATTCCTGTGGTGCAATGCTGCTAACACAATCAAATCCAAAGTCCTCTCTCTGGTTTGTTTGGTTTTGTTTTTAGGCAGTCTCACCATATAACCCAGGCTGTCCTGGAACTTGATCTGCAGAGTAGGCTAGCCTTGAACTCAGGGATTCTCCTGCCTCTGCCCAGCTCTGGGACTAAAAGTGCGTGCCACCATGTCCAACTCTTCTTGGGTCTCCCTGTGTAGTGCTGAAACTTGCTCTGTAGACCAGGCTGGCCTGTCCTGCCTTCATCTTACTCTCTATACTGTATTTGGAAAATTCTCTCTTCAAAATGCAGCTCAAATGTCTGTTCTTGTGGTAAGCCAAGTATGTAAGTACAGCCCTCTTTCCTTAGTCTGGGTTTGAATAGTCCTTATATCCTCCTCAATATCCTTCAATATGACCTTGCATTGTAGATTATATTTGTTACTATAAAATGAGAACTGGGACTCTCAGAGTCAGAAACCATGTCTAAGTTGGGTGTGGTAGTACATAGGTATTATTGAAGCTACTCAGAAGACCAAAGCAGGAACATTCTAAATTTGAGGTCTGTCTGGGAAACTTAGTGAGATCTTATCTCAAAATAAATGAAACATAGATAGGGATTCTATCTCAGTGGTAGAGTACTTACATAGCACGTGTAAGGCTTTGGGTTTAAATCTCTGGAACCAGAAAGGAAAGGAGGGAGAGAAGGGAAAAGGAATGAAAGACAAAACCTTATCTACATGGTTTGTGTTCCTAGAACCATTGCCTCCAACAACTCCTAACACATGCAGTGCCTGCAGAGGGCCTGGAAAACCTAGAGGCTGATTTCACTGCTACAGGGAGTCCATCCCAGGAAGAGCTAGTAGTTCCCAGAAAAACAGGGAGACTGGGCTCCCTGAAGTCAGATATATAAACCAACAACATTACAGCAAGTTTACTGCTGTCCACACAGCCCTTCAATCCAGAGTTATGATCTGGAGACAGAAACCAGATGGAAACAATGAATTAGAGGCTCTAGACAAGGGATCAGGTCATTTGTAAAATTAGATGGCTCTGTTTATAGGATAAAATGTCAGGTAGGTGCACCCTGAAGCCAGTAAGCAAGGAAACACTAGAAAAGCAAAAGAGAGCCAGTTCCCAGATTCTCACTCAGCTGTGCACAAACTCCTGAAGGTCTTAAAGCTTTGCTCCCTACTTAAGTGTTGCTTTGTTTTATGTAAGGCACAGGATGGTGGGGCTGATGCACCCTAGTCCTGCAAAGAAAATTATGGGAGTTGGTACCCTATCTCCTCCATATTTCATTTATTCTTGCTCTGGGTACCTTTAAGTTGTATGACTTATATTATTTAAACTGTCCAAAAAAAGGTGATTTACTGAAATGTTTAACTGTCAGTTAAGCTACATAAAATATTTCACATGAATAAATTAATAATCCAGAAAAGTTATTGAAAGATACTTGTCTTTGTTTTTTCGAGACAGGGTTTCTCTGTAGCGTTGGAGCCTGTCCTGAACTAGCTCTTGTAGACCAGGCTGGCCTCGAACTCACAGAGATCCACCTGCCTCTGCCTGGGATTAAAGGCGTGTGCCACCAACACCTGGCTGATACTTGTTGTTTTAATTTGGAGGTCAGAAATGAAGAGTTTTCCCTTAATTTTTCCCTTTCATTTTCCCTAGGTCTTCAAAGAATGTGACTAAAATAGTTCATGGACAGGTTATAGAAGCAGCAGGAGGAAAAAGGCTGTTCTAGAGGAGGTTAGAGGACGCTGGTTAGTCAGAAGGAAAACTTATGGCAAAGAACAGCCAGGAGACCTGTTTGGGTCAGTCCTGTGCTCTTAACATCTCATCCCACCTCAGGTACCACGAAAGAGCCTAAGCAGTCAGGCGGAGGGCAGCGGATGGGAATGGGAAGCTATGGGGCAAGCTCAAGACCAGGCTCTAGATTAAAATCTAAAACCTTTAAGGGTCAGGTTCTCTGGAATTCAACTTTCTCATCTATAAACAAGCACACAATGGTGCTTATGTACTATAAGTTGTAAGAAAGAATCAGTATAAAGTTGCCTACAAATGATACCAAGCTGACTCACAAGTCCAGAGTCCCTTCCCTTGGGGGTCGAGTTTAGATTTTTGTTTTTCTCAGGTATATCATCCCACTAACGCACACATAACATTAAAGCAACAGCTTAGCATTCTGCCAATCTGACTGTGTGACACTTATTCGTCACCCCTGCCTTGTTGGAGAGATACCTACTCTATACACAGAACCTGTGATTTGGACAATGACAGGACAGTATTAAAATCCAGGTCCATGGGATTTAATGTTCCCCTTTGGAGACTATGTAGCCTTGCCTCACAGGGAGGATGATGCCTTGGTTGCTCAGGATGTCCTCCTCAGTCAGCAGCTCTCACCTGTGTAGCTCTTCATCAGACGGCGAGTACTTGGCCGTGACATCAGCCAGCTCCCCAAAGATCTGCTTGCTATAAACTGTGAGGGAAGAGAGCAGGATCAATTCCTGCCATGTAGAGCTCAAGAGGCACGTGTAATCCTTGATTGAGAGCTCGCAGAAGAAAGGCAGCTTCTTGATCCAGGCAATTTGTCTAAAGAGCAACTCGTCGGCCAGGCGGCAAAGCAGAGCAAACAGCTCTGCTTGTGTCACAGAATATCTGGAGGTGGGGACAAGACAGAGAGTGAGGGTAGGAGCAAAGGAGGGAGGGTATTCCTCGAAGGCACAGTATGTCCTTGGCAGTAGGGCCCTTGCCGACAGATTTCCAGTTTCACTCAACTTCTTATAAATGGGTAGGGCTGGAGTCTGCGAAAAGCTGGGATGGGAGTGGGGGGCAATGATATTTTCTGAGAAGAGGCTGCTGAGAGAAAAGGAGGTTTAGAAATTTGTGGAATTATGAGAGCTATCACTCTTAATGCTGGTGTTCTCTAATGTTTCATGCCCTAGAAGAAATTCTTACTCATTCCTGCTCTAGTTTTGGTAATAAAAATACTAATGCGGTGGGTCTAGAGCATACCTAGTATGAGGAACAACAACCACACATACAAGAAAACAGAAACAAAAACAAAACACAAAGCCAAACAAATCCAAGGGCCAGACTGCTGCAGAGAACAGGCATTCAGAAGCCTTTCCTGTCCTCACTGTGCCCCCTGGTGGTGACAGTTCAGGAACTAGAGCTGCTCAGCCTTTCTAAAAAACTATTTCTCAGCTCTAGCCCACAGGGGCCTTTGAGTCTCACTCAGATTTATTCCTTTCAAGGTCCTGGGTCCCCTTGTCATCTTCTTCCTCATTCCTTACATATAAAAGCTCTGGGGGATCCTTCCTTTATGTATTTAAGTCTACTATTCTGAAACTGGAGCCTAGCTGAGGATCTCAAGATACTTTTTGGGAGGCCTAAGGACTCTAGCAACCCATGTTCTGTACCTAAAAAGTAATAGGTGCAAGAATGAGTGGCCCAGATGATGAACTATGCAGCACCCCAATAGAGCCAAATGCAGACTGAGGTATCTCTTCCACCATTCAGGTCTGTACCAAAGGCTGCCAGTCACATGCCATTGGTTACTAATGGGCATGTTGGCTAGGTATATAGACAGGTCACAACCGATTAGGGTTTGAATGATTTAAAAACCTTAGGCCTGATGTAAAGCTTATTTCTGACACAAAACCAACCATTTCAGGGCTTGGTTTACATAGACCCACAAAGAAATGAAGGCTCTTCAATCCCAATTTCATAGGAACTAAAAAGTAACCTGAACTCTCTGAGAAAAGATGCTTAAGGAAACACGAGGGACCAACGCCTTCAATGACAAAGCTGGGGATACAACTGGTGCATGGTAGGAACATTTTGAGACTAAAGGGCCCAGCAGGGCAGAATTCACTCACCCATCTTCAATCAACATGGGTGTGCCCAATGGCTCCAGGTCTTCGGCTGACATCAGCTGGTGAATCAGACTGTAGGACTGAGGGTCCAAGCTTCGAGCTTGTGGGGGCAGAAGTGGTGAATGGCCAGAATAGCTAAAAAGGTGTGGTATGTATTGATAATGTGGAGGCACTGACATCCCCATGTACTGGTCCCTGAATGTCATAAATCCATTTAGTTCCACAGACCTACTGGAGAGAAAAACTTCACATCAGGAAAAGCCATGGCAGGTTGAGTACATGCTCAAAGGAATAAGATAGCCAAGGAGTTCTCTGGTCATAAAGTCTGTAACTAATCAAGTCATGGGACAAAATTAAGATTACATGCATGTCTGTCTACCCATTAGATTCCAGCCATGAGACACGGACTCTGTGAGGGTACAGAAGTATGGGGCTCATCATTGGCAAACTCAGTGACCAGCAGTATAGGAGATATAAATAAATAAGGATTGGTTGAAATCTTTGTCCTGATGTCACAACTAGCACCTCAGTCATGCTAGGTAGGTGCTTGGCCATTGTGCTCTATCCTAATGCTCTTCTACCTTCTAATATATTTGAGATCTGGTCTCTAGGGCTAGTTGCCAGGGCCAACCCTGAATTCATTCTGTAGCCCAGGCAGGTTTTGAAGTTGTCATCCTCCTGCCTCAACCTCCCCGATAGTTGAGACAGTAGGTCTTTACCACCAAGCCCAGATTGAAAGAGTTTTTAATGTATACCAGTAGACTATTGTGACAAAAATGTGTGTTTATATTGTTGTTTTACTGTTAGGAAAACAAAGGCACAGGGTAGGCTAAATGGACTTTATTAGTCTAAAAACCAAATCCAGTACCTGGCATGAAATATAGCTTGAGGTCCTAAATCCTAAAAAGAAAGAACAAGGGAACAAATAATGGAATAAAAAGCTCTAATTGAATATGAAGAGGAAGGCAAGCTCTTCCCTGTTTCCTCTTTTTGGGAGAAATCTAATCATTTTTCTCAACTGACAAAGAAGTTACATCTGTTTATTTATATTTCTCCTGACGCACGTGTGGAGCTCTCCTCTTCCACTGTGTGGCTATCAGACTTGGCGGCAGGTGCCTTTACCTGGTGAACCATCTCCCCAGCCCATTATTTATCATATTGAAAATCATTTAGCTTTTCCTAGATGTATTTCCTATGACTGAGTTTGGCAAACTATAGTTTATAGGCCAGACCTAGCCTAAGACCTATTTTTGGTAAATTGAGTTTTTTACGGGAACAAAGCCACACTCACTGTTTTATACATATGGTGTGTGCAGCTTTTGAGCCACTAAGGCACAGTTGGGGTGCTGGGACCCAGGCCAGACGTAGAAAATTTAAAATAGTTACTATATGGCCTTTTAAATTTTTGTTTGTCTATTTGGAAACAGGATCCCTATGTAGTCCTGCCTGTCCTAGAATGACCTTTTTATAAAAGGAGGATTTCTTTCTTTTATCATGTGCATATATGATGGTGTGTGTGTGTGTGTGTGTGTGTGTACAGGCCTGAGATTTATGTCAAGTAACTCTCTCAATGGTTTTCCACCTTATCCTTCTGAGACAGGGTGTCTAAAAAGACCTGGAGCTTATAAATTCAGTTAAATTAGCTGGCCACTGAGCCTCAGAGGCCACAGCCTCCCTAGTGCTAGAAGGAAACAAAGTCTATATAGTCCTCACTGCACCTTGCTTTTATGTGGGAGCTGGGGATCCAACCTGGGGCCTCATGACTACAGAGCAAGCACTTTACAGCCTGAGCAATCTCCACAGGCCATACCATGTGACATCTTATTCTCACTTATTATTTATTTATTTTTTAAAGAGTTATTTATGCTGGGCAGTGGTGGCACACGCCTTTAATCCCAGCACTTGGGAGTCAGAGGCAGGCAGATTTCTGTCAGTTCGAAGCCATCCTGGTCTACAAGAGCTAGTTCCAGGACAGCCAGGACTATTATACAGAGAAATCCTGTCTCAGAAAACAAAACAAACAAAAAGATTTATTTATTTATGTATATGAGTGTTCTGTCTGCATGTTTGCCTGCACTTCAAAAGAGGTCATCAGATTCCATTACAGATGGTTGTGAGTGGGTGCTGGGTGCTGGGAATGGAACTCAGGACTTCTGAAAGAGCAGTCAGTGCTCTTAACCTCTGAGCCATCTCTCCAGAGATTTCAAGAAAATATCTTTAATTCTTGTCCTATATGAAAGACTTCTGGGGCAAGGAGCCCTCCATTATAGCTAAAAGCCATATTTACAGCTATTAGCTAACTTAAGATAGCATGATTGCCTCAAGAGGTTTTTTAAAGATTTACTTATTTATTATGTATACATTGTTCTGCCTGTGTGTGTGTGTGTGTGTGCCTGCAGGCCAGAAGAGGGCACCAGATCTCATTATAGATGGTTGTGAGTCACCATGTGGTTGCTGGGAATTGAACTCAAGACCTCTGGTGAATAGCCAGTCTTCTTAACCGCTGAGCCATCTCTCTAGCCCCTGAGACTTTAATCTTCAGTTCCCCAATAACACTGACTCTCGTGAGTCAGAAAAACTGTGAACTCAGTTCTGCAAACAGTGTATTAAAATGTTATTCTGCAAACTGAAGCCTATGTAGGCATGCACAGAAGTGGTGCTTATCAGTCTGAAAAAGAGACTGAGGACATTTTGTTTTGGTCTTGGAAGAAGCCTGGGCTTGTACCATCTTGGTCCCCAAGAGCCTGGCAGAGGAGCACTCTATCAGAAGTTCTTTGGAGAGCGACTTGCTGGGTGGTCCACAGATGATGATACTGGGCTTGCCTTTAGCTTACCTGGATGACAATGTGGAGCCTGGCGAGGGCTGGTTGCTCTCTGAAGCCCTGTTCCCAGGGGAACTGTGGTCGCTGTCACCATGGTTGCTCCAGTGATTGGCTTCTTCCTCAAACTCTTGTCCAGACATGATTCTTTCAATCTCTTCTTCTGATATCTTTGACAAGAAATGGACACATGTTACAGCTGATACTGTAGATACCTCCTGTTTTGTCTGTAGGACACCAAGTTTATACTCCAGGTCTCTCATACTCGTTGGAGTTCCTTGGCTATGCCCAGTATATCTGGACACAATCTTTGACTTTTCCCTTGCCCATTTACCCTACCTTCCAGACACAAAGTCTATTCCTCAACTCTTGTCTTTGCGTCCTCACTTTCCTAACTGAAACTTCATTCTTCAATGACAATCCCCTATTTGCTCTACCCAATAATGAATGTTATCTCCTTTGTAAAATTATCTAGCATTATTTACTATTCATAACTATATGGATTCTGAGAAAAGAAGGGCAGCATCATGGTTAATAGTATAAATTCAGGAAGTACACCATCTTTTGTCAAATCCAGACTTCTGGAACAAACTTGGTAAAGTTACTGAATTATGTCATGTGAAGTATGTCCATTAGTTTGGTAGATAGAACAAAATCCCCACCTCACTGGATTCTTGAGGATTAATCAATTCAGATACTTAGAAAGGGGGCTAGCAAGAATAACAATTAAAGAAGCACTGAAAGTTACAATATCATCATCTTTGGGTTGCTTTGTTTGAGACAGGTCTTGTTACAGTGCTCAGGATAGTCTTAAATTCCTAGGCTCAAGAAGTCCTTCTACTTCAATCTTTCAAGTAGCCGAATCTATAGGAGTGTGTCACCAAACTGGGTTGTCATTGTTACAGAATACTCATAGTAACATATCATTAGCAGAAGTGTATAATAAGTGGGTATTAAGTACGTGGTGTTCACCTGGTAAGAACTGACGTGTACTGTCACGTGGATTTTCTTTTTCCGGGCAGTGGTGGTGCACACCTTTAATCCCAGCATTTGGGAGACAGAGGCAGGAATAGCTCTGTGAATTCAAGGTCAGCGTGGTCTACAGAGTAAGTTCCAGGACAGCCAGCCAGGATTATTTCACAGAGAAAACCTGTCTCCAAAAACCAAAAACCAAGCCAAACCAAACAAAAACAGAAAGAAAAAAAAAAAAAAAAGAATATCACCTAGTCTATTACTCTATTAAATAAAACTTTGAAGAAATTACAGCTCACATAAGTCATACTGTGTGCACCTAGATGTGGTCAGGGGTATGAGGAAGAAACAGAAATATACTAGAACTTAGCCCAGTACTCTATAGAAAACTATATCTTCTATACAGTATCTAACTTAGGACTGAGGCCTAACTGGTCACAGTCAACACAGAGCAGACAGAGTAAGTGCTAAGGATTTTATATGATGTTTCTATGGAAACCGCAAAGTCCATTTTCTCCCAGGCTTGTTTGGTTCAGACCTGCATATGTATTTGCTCTAGCGGCCTTTAAGAAAACCCTGAACTGTCATGGTCATAAACAAAAGCTTTCAGAATGCACCACTACAGGAACAGCAGGGAACCGAGTTTGCCATTCCAGCCTGAGGACCTCAGTTCAACCCCTGGAAGCGATGTAAAGGAGAAAACAAACACCTCCAACAGTGAACTGTGGTACTTGTGTGCCTGCATGCACACATCACACATGTGAGCACACAAGGGCACACATGTACAGACATATAAAATAATGATAATAATTTTTTTAAATTCATATATTATTCTCTCATTTATCCTGACTCTAGTTTCTGATCACTCCACTCTTCCCAGTAATAATACAGTTTTTTGTTTGTTTTTGCCTTTTTTTTTTCCAAGACAGGATTTTTCTGTGTAACAGCTTTGGTTGTCCTGGAACTCATTCTGTAGACAAGGCTGGCCTTGAACTCACAGGGATTTGCCAGCCTCTGCCTCCCAAGAGCTGGGAATTAAAGACATGTGCTACCAGTGCCTGGCATAATAAAGTTTAAAAAAAAAAAAGAACTGAATATTAATGAGAATATGGGACTAGGCAAGAAGGATTTAACTAGTAGATAAACAAAGGAGCTGGTCTGAAATTATTTGGTGTATACACTGAAATGGAGCAACTGTTTTTGAAAATTAAGTCATATATACCAAAGAAATAAACTCCAGCTTTTCTCTTAATGGTCCTTAGAACCCTGAAATTGTTGTCACTCGAGAGATGGTACTGACAGCAAGAACAGAGTGTGAAGACGTGGGCTGAGTGAAAAGAGCCAACCCATGAAGGCAGTTTACTCTACCTGGGAGTTGTGACTGCTTTCCCCTGTGAGCACCATGGGACAGTGAGCAATCACTGATACACTGACTACAGAGAGAACAGAATTTGTTGGAAATGCTTGACCTGGGTTCTAATTTCATTTGTTATTTCCTAGCCAGATACTCCTGGGAGAGTCAAGTCACTTGAACTCTCTGTGCTTCAGCTTCTCTGCCTGCAAACAGAGGCAATATTACCCCTTTGTAGCTCATGGCTATTCCATCAGAGGTAGAGCAGAGAAGTATACAGGTCAAAGTCAGACAGACTTGGGAGTTAACCCAAGATAAAGTTATAAAACAGACAGAGAATAGATGCTTAGTAAATGGAAACTCCATCTCTCCTATCTCTCCTTGTTGTTTTTTGCGGGTTTTTTGTTTGTTTTGTTTTGTTTTGTTTTTGTTTTGAGACAGGGTTTCTCTGTGGCTTTGGAGGAGCCTGTCCTGGAACTAGCTCTTGTAGACCAGGCTAGCCTCCAACTCACAGAGATCCGCCTGCCTCTGTCTCCTTGTTTTTATTAAGACTAGCTAAACACAGATGGGTAGTGATAGTGCACGCCTTTAATCCCAGCACTCAGGAAGCAGAGGCAGATGGGTGGATTTCTGTGAGTTTGTCTTTTATTCTTTTTATAATTTTATGTATATGATTGCTCTATCCGCACGCCAAAAGAAGGCATCAGATCCCACTATAGATGGCTGTGATTGCTGGGACTTGAACTCAGGACCCCTGGAAGAGCAGTCAGTGCTCTTAACCACTGAGTCATCTCTACAGCTGGTTGTGATGGTACATGCTGGTAGAATTTGCTCAAGGAGGCTGAGAAGGAAGACTACAAGGCCAGCCTGAGAGAAACCCTGTCTTGAAAAAAAGAAAAAAGAATAGACAAACACAACTGAGAACTTAAAGATCACAGCTCTAACACACTACCCATAAAAACCAAAATAATATGCTTAGCATAAAAACTCAAACATAACTGGGTGGTGGAAGAACATGTCTTTAAACCCAGCACTCAGGACATAAATATAGAAAGATCTCTGAGCCAGAGGACAGCCTGGTCTACAGAGTGAGTTCTAGAATGGATAGAGCTACACAGAGAAACCCTGTCTCAAAAAAACAAAATAACAACATCAACAACAAGAAAAACCCTCAAACACAATAGCAGGTGAAATGGCTTTTCTAACCACTGGTGTCTTCAGTTCTAGAGGAAACAGTAGGACCTGAGCATCCCCTGGCAGGGCACTAAGAATGCATTAGGTGCTACTATAGCAATAGTTCTCAACCTTTCTAATGCTTCAACCCCTTAATACAGTTGCTCGTGTTGTGTGAACCCACCAAATATAATTTGTTGCTACTTCATAACTGTGATTTTGCTACTGCTATGAATTATAATATAAATATCTGTATTTTCTGATACACAATCAACATAAACCAATTCTTTTGTTTATAGTCTATCAGGAAACAAGCTGAAAAAAAAATTTTTTTTGCTTTTTTTTCTTTTTAAAGTTGGCCATTTTTTTAAGATTTATTTATTTATTATATATACTGTATTCTGCACCAGATCTCATTACAGATGGTTGTGAGCCACCATGTAGTTGCTGGGAATTGAACTCAGGACCTTCGGAAGAACAGGCAGTGCTCCTAACCTCTGAGCCATCTCTCTAGCCCCCCCAATTTTTTTTGTTTGTTATTTTGAGTCAGGGTTTTTCTGTGTAGCCCAGGCTGTCCTGGCACTCAGAGATTGCCTTCCTCTGCCTCCTAAATGTTGGGATTAAGGGTGCACCTCCCATATGAAAAGAAAAATTTAAGGAAACAATTCCACTTAGAATAGCATAAAAATGTAATAAAGTTGAGAGGATCAAAGACTTACACAGTGACAAGCACAAAACATTGTTAAAAGAAACTACACACTGAGCCAGGCTTGGTGGCACACGCCTTTAATCCCAGCACCTGGAAGACAGGGGCAAGTGGATCTCTGTGAGTTAGAGGCCAACCTGGTCTATAAATTCAGGACAGCTAAGGCTGTTACGTGGAGAAACCAGAGCTGTACACTTCCTGGTGTTAAAGCATACTATTGTGCTGCAGTAATCAAAACACTGGTACAGACATATAGCTCAACAGAATAAAATAAAAGCCTACAATTACACTCAGAAATATATGGTCAAACAACCTTCAACAAAAGTCGAAGACTACACAGTGGGGAAAGAATAATCTCTTCAACTAACAGTGCCAGGCAAACGTTTGGCAGTCTCATGCATACAGGCAGGAGCAAAGAAAGAGAAAAAGAGAGTCCTCTTTTCTTATACTACACACAAAGATCAACTCAAAATTTATTAAATGTAAGGTCTGAAACTGTAAAATTCCTGGAGAAAAATAGAAGAAAAGTCTTCCAAGGTTGGTCTTAGCAATGATTTCATGGAAAAGACACCAAAAAAGCCCAGGCAACATGAGCTAAACTAGAAAAAAAACAGGCTGTGCAGCCAACAAACCACCATCCCTTCAAAGCAGCCTATGAAATTAGAGGGAAGGAGTTAGCATCTGGAACATGGTGAATTCAAGAGGTAGAGTTTTCGATTATAAAAGATAAAAACCGCTGAGGACACTGATATACACTTAAAGATTGAGAGAGCTCAGTGAGTAAAGTGTTTGCTGAGCCAGAGAGAGATCTGAACACAGACCCCAGTGTCCACAGAAAAGCCAGGCATAGCAATGTACACTGGTATCTCAGTGCTGAGGAGCAGGCAGACAGGTGCATACTGAGGACTCCGGCCAGCCTGTCTAGGAGCAATGGCAAACCTGAGGTTTAGTAAAAGACCTTGTCTCAAAAAATAAGGCAGAGAACAAATAGAGACATCCCAATACCAATCTCTGCCCTCCACAAGTGTTTATATGGATGACAGCACCCACACCCCACATATCACACAAACACAATCACATGCTGTTTTCAGACCAGAGTGAAATAAATTATTTTTCAAGAGAAAAAATTTTCAACATGAATAAAAATGCTTGATTAAACAAATCAAAACAGTAAAATTAGGAGTGTTACACAAATATATACACATTGATTTAGTACATGCTGTGTACCCACGCAGAGGACACATCTCAGATTTCTTATCTTTCATTTGTTTATACTTAATTGGAGAAATCCTTTAATTTGCTTATGAACTCTCTCTTGGCTCTCTTTCTGCCTTCTGATCTGTGCTGTCATTGTCCTACTTCAAACTATTACCTGACTCTTTTTTGTTTGTTTGTTTGCTTGTTTTCTTCAAGACATGGTTTCTCTGTAGCTTTGGAACTCACTTGGTAGACCAGGTTGGCCTTGAACTCTGCCACTGGGCTGCAATCAATCTCGTTCGTTGAATAGGCTTCTGCAAACCCATTTTAAACCATTTCCATTAACTTTTTTTCTAAAATGCAAATCTGTATATGACACTCTCCCTGTTTACAACTGTTAAGTGATTGCTTCTTGGTACACAGCAAAAATTTGTAAAACTGACCCTGGTTCCTCATGTGTTTGAGGATTATTTTGATGGCTGGGTCATAAAATAGACCCAATTTTCTAGACTCTGGAGGCCCTTCTGCTTGCTAGTAGGAACAGGAGATGTAGGATGGCCCCATAAAGGCTTTACATATGAGCCGATGGCCAAAGACAGCTGAGGCCCCTCCTTAGAGAACTAATAGAAATTCAAGGACTCTACCTTACTTCTTACCGTGTTACTGCATGTGCCAAGTGCTCCTGCTTCACTGAACTACCTCCGTGTGTGTGTGTGTGTGTGTGAGTGTGTGTGTGTTTTTTTTTTTAAAGGATCTGTCTTTAGGCCATTCCAGTCTATTCTGTGTAGCTTTGATAAATGATGTGTACCTTTTCAACACAACTACTTCTTCCTTCCCCTTCAAGGATAAGTTCAAAAGTACCTTAAGGAACCTTTTCATGACTGTCTCCAGCCTCTACATCTGCTAACTCTCAGTGTACTGTGTCTATTTAGTATCTGTCTCATTAGACTGAGACCACAGTATATAGACTAACAGAGTAGGAACTTGGTAAATACCCATGGAAAGGAAGACTATTATTACTATTTTATATGAACAACAGCCAGGTGGTGGCGGCATACACCTTTAATCCCAGCACTGGGGAGACAGACAGGTGTGATGCGGAACCTCCTTCAGCCAATGGCCTTTGAGAGGCTGGACCAGGTGCGCGTGGAAATAAGTCACTGCTCGCCTCTTCCACACCTGTTTCCTGTTTCCTCAATGTGATCCTTTGAGTTTCCTTTTTATTTTTTTTTTTTTAAGTTTTTCGAGACAGGATTTCTCCGTAGCTTTGGAGCCTGTCCTGGAACTAGCTCTTGTAGACCAGGCTGGCCTAGAACTCCCAGAGATCCGCCTGCCTCTGGCTCCCGAGTGCTGGGATTAAAGGCGTGCGCCACCACTGCCCGGCTTGAGTTTCCCTTTTATTAAAGAAAATCCTTAGAAGACCCTATTCAGAGCTAGTGTGGAATTATTTGATTCACATTCCCCCATCTGATGCATTCTGCTTCACAGGTGGATCTCTTTGAGTTTGAGGCCAACCTGCTCTACAAAGTAAGTTCTGAGACAGCCAGAGCTGTTACACAGAAAAACCCTGTTTCAACTCCACACCCACAATAAAAATACACACTGCGGGGGGGGAGGAGGGAGTATATGATTGTTGCTAATTTCTGCCAGGCTAAGTTACCTATAACTAAGTTATTGATCAAAGGGGAAAAATATTTCTCTGGATGATTTGGAACCAGAACTGAGTTCATGACCTGTGAAATTCTTAGGAAGGATTAAGGGATCATAAGAAGAGCTTTAGACTTTAAACATTCAGACTCTATACACAGCTTTACAGAAGTGAAAGCCAAAATAGCAGGAGAGAGACTCAAGGTGAACAGCTACAGGAACATTTGGAGCACTAAGCTTCCAGATCACACTAAGAGAGAGGGTGCAAGAACTCACCTGAACTGGCCCAATGCTCTTATTCCGGCCTCCAGGCATGCCATCCTCTCTGATAGCTAGAAGGAAATATAAGACAGTCAGAAGCACACTCACAGTCATTTAAAAATGAAAAGGAAGCCAAGCCGGGCGGTGGTGGCGCACTCATGGTTGTTTAATCCCAGCACTCGGGAGGCAGAGGCAGGCTGATGTATGTGCATTTGGGGCCAGCCTGGTCTACTACATAGTGAGTTCCAGGACAGTCAGAGCCACATAGTGAAACCCTGTCTTAAGTGCACACACACACACACACACACACACACACACACACACAAAACTCACCTCACTAAAAGTATAATGTAGTAAATGATGAAGCCAAGATCAAAACACAGGCCATTCTGGACACACAGTACACATTATTGCTGTAAGTTGGCCATAAGCAGCAGATGCTTTTGTGTCCCCAAGGTAGTGGATGTATACCACATATATTGTACACATTCAAGATGTCCAACAAAAATGGAGCATTATTAACAAGTAACAGTTACAAATATCCCACAAGAAAGGGATATTTCTGAGGGACATTTTAGTGTGTGTGTGTGTGAATGAACAGTTGCATTTTAAAATAAAATATATTTTATTCTTTGCCCAAGTTTAATATAAAGGATTGGAACAGCACTCTACTACCCAGGCAGATGCACATATGGCTTTTGATATTGAGTTTTTATTAATCGCAATGTTCACCTTACTAGTTTCTCATTACAAAAGCAGGAAATTGAAGCTGAAGGAACTTACTTAGTATTTTCTTATTTTATATATATGAGTATCTTGCCTACTTGTGTGTACCCATGTGTGCCCACAGGTCAGAAGAGGGAGTCAGATCCCAGGAAATAGTTATGAATGTTTGTGATTTACCGTGTGGGGCCTGCGTGCCATCCAGATCCCCTGCAGGGGCAGCAAATGTTCTTAAACACCAAGCCATATATCTAGTTATCTAGTCCCCAAATGACTCTTAGGTTGCAGGTTTGTTGTTACTGTTTGTTTAAATTTTAGAATTTATCTCTATGCATGTGGGTGTTTTGCCTGCATATGACTGTGCACTATGTGCCAGGTGCCTAGTAAGGCCAGCAGAGGGTGCTGGATACCCTGGGATACCTTAAAAAACCTGTAAGCTGCCAAACCAGAACCCAACACTGCACTTAGAAATCATGTTTTGGGGCTGGAGAGATGGCTCAGTGGTCAAGAGCACTGACTGCTCTCCCAGAGAACCAAGATTCAATTCCCAGCACCCACAAGGCAGACAGCTGACAACTTTCTGTAACAGTTCCCGGGAATCTGACATCTTCATACCAAAAGCAGATAAAAATAAAGTTAAATAAATATTGAAAAGAAAGAAATCATATTTCTATTGTTTTCTCCAAATTGTAGCAACTCTTTAGTCTTTGTCTTCTGACCTTGACACTTTCCACTAGTGTGTTACATTGTCGCTTCCTACCATGTTAGTTATTTTGAAAAACAATCTTCTAGCTGGAGGGGGTGGTTTATGTCTTTAATCCCAGCACTACAGAGGCAGAGACAGAGGCAGGTTCATCTCTGTGATATCTAGGCCAGCCTGATCTACAGAGTGAGTTCCAAGACAGCCAGAGCTACACAGAGAAACCTTGTCTGGAAAAACCAAAAACAGAGAAAATAAAAATTAGAAAAAATTAAAAAAAAATTGTCAATAAGGGCTCCTAAGTTTTCTCATGAGTACTCTGATAATGAACTTCATGCTCTCTCCCCTCCCTCCCTCGGCTCTCATCTGTGTGCCAGTGCTAGTCCTGGCATTCTTCTCACCGGGGTAAATTATATTGGTATTCTTACTAGTGATACTAACTATGGTGGAGGGTAGTTTGACTTGACACAAGCTAAAGTTACAAGCTAAGAGTCACCCAGGTGATACTGATTTTGAAGGCATGAAGGGGTCATGGAGAACAGCTGAAGCTTGGCATTGTGAGAGGCCAGGAGAGGCCACTGGTAAAGCTGCAGCCTCAGTAGCATTTGAAAGCCCAGGATTGAATGGGTCATGCTGAGATGTTGAGGCTTGGCACCACGAAGAGGCTATTGATGAAAAGTGCAGCCCATCTACAGCAGAGACACCAGGGTTGGAGATACCAGTGCCATGGGATGACCACCAAAACAGTAGCAGCAGTGAAGAGGATCCTGCCTGAGCTCTGCAAAGGGCAGAGCTGGAGAACTGACCCAAGTCCTTTGGAAAAACCCTGAAGATCATGAGTGGATCCCAGACATTAGACATTACTCTACACTCTTGGGAGTTTGATTTTGCTTGGATTTGATTGTGACTATGCCTTGGTTCTTCCCTCTTGAAGTAAGAAAGATTTTAACTTAATTTTTACTTTTATAGGTACCCACATCTTTAAGACTTTGGATTTTTAGAGATTGGATATTTTAGAAATACTAAACTTTAATGTGTTTGAATCTGTAAAGACTGTGGGACTTTTAAAGTTATTTATGTCTTTTTGTTTTGTTTTTTTGAGACAGGATTTCTTTGTGTAGCCCTGGCCATCCTGGAACCAGTTCTACAGACTGCCCTCAAACAGAGATCCTACTACCTCTGCCCCGCAACAAGGAGTCCCGCTGGGTGTTGTGGCGCTATTTATGTTTTTAATGTGAAAACTTGGGGATGAATGAGAAAAAGAAAAGTGTGTTTGTGTTTCAGGTTGACAAGGGGTCAATTGTGCTGAACAACTTTACACAAGCAAGTCATTTGAAAGGAGGGAACCTCAGCTGAGAAAATGCTTCCATAGGATCAGGCTGTAGGTTAGCCTATAGTACATTTTTTAAATCAGTGACTGAATGGAAACAGCCCAGCCATGTGGATGGTGCCACCTTTAGGCTGGTGGCCCTAGATTCTGTAATAAAGTAGGCTGAGCAAGCCAGTAAGCAGCACTCCTCCATGGCCTTTGCATTAGCTCCTGCCTCCAGGTTCCTGCCCTGTTTGAGTTCCTGCCCCAACTTCCTTCATTGATAAACAGTGATATGGAATTAGAAGTCAAATAAAATAAACCCTTTCCTCCCAACTTATCTTTTGGTCCTGGTGTTTCATTGCAACAACAGAAACCTTGACTAAGACACTAACCTTCATCACATTCTGGCTGAAGTAAATTCTCCATGGAAACAATTTCCTTTTGAGTTAAACTTCAATAGTTTAAACCAGTGCTCACTTCTGTTGGATCCCTATAGTGGATCTCAGCTGTAAGTCAGTACTGTGATGTTGTAACTTGTACGTCATGTCTTCTCTACTTACTCACTGGATTTCTTTCATAAGGAAGAATGGTCACTTCTGTTTATTCAGCTAGTTATTTCTATTAAATAAGCATGCGTAGACTTATTTCTGAGCCTATGAACAAATCTAGAGATATTCTGTTAGAACAACTGTGGTTACCAGGAGCTCTCAGGTTGATTTCTGTGCCTTTCACTGTGCCCTGTGTGCTCACTCACACACTCATGCACACTTTTGCTCTTGTTTATTTATTAAGTGTATGTGGGTACCTGTGAAGGTCAGAAAAGAGCCATGGATCTCCCAGAGATGGAGTTAAAGGTGTTTGTGAACACCTGGCGTGGGTGCTGGGATCCAGACTCTGGTCCTCTGCAAGAGCAGTAAATTTTCTTCACCATGAAGTCATTTCTTCAGGGTTTTCACCCCATTACCTCTCCTATTTTCAAGTACTCTAAAACTCTCCATGATTATATTTTTCTTGTTCCAGCCCTGAATTCAACTATTTCCCCATGGAGACCTTACTGGTGTGTGGGTGGGTGGGTCCTTCTGTCTATGTGTTGCTATTATTGGTTAATGAATAAAGAACTGCTTTGAGCCTATGGCAGGGAAGAACAGAACTAGGCAGTGAAAGCTAAGTTGTATGCTGGGAGAAAGAAGGGCAGAGTCAGAGAGATGCCATGTAGCCCAGCCGGAGACAGACACTGGAATTTTACCTGGTAAGCCACAGCCATGTGGCCATACACAGATTAATAGAAATGGGTTAAATTCAGATGTAAGAGTTAGCCAATAAGAAGCTAGAGCTAATGGGCCAAGCAGTGATTTAATTAATACAGTTTCTGTGTGATTATTTCGGGTCCAAGCTAGCCAGGCGGCCGGGAACCAACAAGCAGCCCTCCTTTAACACCTTACTCTTTGTATTGACACTTAAAACAGATTCTGGGTACTGGCTGTGTCTAGCCTCATGTAGTGGTTAGGGTTTATAGAAATACATGCATGGACACTAAGTCACATACACCCCACACATTTTCTACTGTCCAGACACCAGTCCCATATTAATATATCTGACTCTGATATTCATTTTAGCCTTTGCTAATTAATAACTCCTTTGTCAAATATATTTGTCTATTCAACCACAGTATTCAATTAAAAGAGACAGAATTCCTAACATATAACCTTGAGAGAAACAATGTTACAAATCAGAATGCTTTGTTTGTATACAATTGTTTTTATCCTTACCTTACAATATCAGTCAAAAGCTGTTTTCCAAGGCCAGCTCCCTTCTTCCCTAGTGCCTCAGTGTACATTTTAAAACCAGCTAGATAAATCCATCACACTGTTGACTTCATCTCTCCACCCAGTTCCTCCACACCAACACATATGGCTTGACTAGCTTTTTATATCCAGTAAGTCACTTTTTATAATGTACAGTTCTATGGCTTTTGACAAGTAAGTAAAATTATTCATTACCAGTCATGAAAGTTTCAGAGAGTATCTCTTACTTCCTAAATAGTCCCAGAGCAAGTCTAATTTAGCTCTGCTTTCTCAAGACCAACCAGAAGTGGGCAGGGTTTTCCCTCAGCATCCTTCCCTAGGCTACTAAGCCAGTTTCAAGGAAGCAAACCAGGCAACTCTCTGACCCAAGTGTCACAGTCTCTGGGCTGTAAGAACTTTCAGGAGCTATAAAGTATGGTTCTTCTTCCCAAAAACAAAAAACAGATGAGTTTAGATAGAAGTTCAGAATCCTACATGCCAAATGAATAACCAAGATCTATGTATGCAGTCAAGAAGGTATCCCACAACTTAGCAGGGACTTAGCACTCACAGACCCTGGGCAATGAAGGAAAATGAGAAAAGTGTAGTATAAAGCCAAATCAGGGTGAAGGTAGAAAAACAGTATTGCTCTGAAATGGCAACTGGCAAGGATTTCTGTAAGAGACGAAAATACTGGGGAAAAGAATGTACTTCCAAGTAGAAAAACAAACTTGAGCACATGTGGAATGGCATCTGGTCCCAAGTTCCTGCTCTGGCCAGAGAAGCTACAAAGATAGGCAGGGGACAAACTTAGCACTTCAAATACCCTACTATGGCATTTGTTTAACATGCAGCAAGCACACGGTATTCTAATATGCAAACAGCTATGCCACACAGGAGATTTGTGGGAACACTATACTGCTTCTGTGATTAGGCACAGCTCTGCTTAATAACACATTGTAACTTCAAAATTATTAACTATCACCATACTCACCCCTCGGCTGCATGTGTAAACCGAGAGTAAGAGTCAATAGGACAACACACAAAGTAAAGAAGAGTTTACGGCACCTACACCTAAGTGTTCAATGTTAGTTCTGCAAATACACTGTAGGACACCTAATCTAAATGTCCTTAAATAACCCTCTTACCTTTCTTTCTTTCTTTCTTTCTTTCTTTCTTTCTTTCTTTCTTTCTTTCTTTCTTTCTTATTTATTGTATGCGTGTGTATGGTGGGTTATACATTTCTTTCTACACCTGTTATTGTATGCGTGTGTATGGTGGGTTATACATGCCACAGCACACCTGTGGAGGTCAGAGGACAACTGTCAGGAGCTGATTCACTCCTTCCTTCCAGCATATGGGTTGCAGTAACTGAACACAGGTCGTCAGGCTCGGTGCCAGGCACCTTTACCTCCTGAGCCATCTTACCAGGCCCCTCTCACCTTTCAATAGTAAAGCTCTCAAATATCCTTCATTTTTACCTTTCCCCCCAAGTTTGGTTTTTCATCATCATTTCTAACTCCTCAAAAATAAATCATTAGAGGCCTAGAGAGATGGCTCAGTGGTTATGAGCACTGCTGGTTTTGAAGAGGATCTGGGATCAATTCTAGGTTTGGTACCCAGCACCCATATGGTAGCTCACAAATGTCTGTAACTCCAGTTACACAGGATCTGATGCCCTTTTCTGAGTTCCACGGGTTCCTCTGTGCATAGAAGCAGTGCCCACTCTCTCCAGGGCCCTTCTGGGCATTTCTAACAACTTCCTAGTTGGTTTCCTCTACTCAACTTTCAAAGCTCCATAGAGTCAGTTTGTTCATGTTGCTGTAGGGTAAGAGCTCCCAGAAAACTCAATAAATGTCAAACTCTTTACCTTCCTAGACAAAACTTCTAAATAAACCTTGTGTCTGAGTATACCCTGTTTCTAGCAAAACGACATCAAGTCCTACTTCATGACTTTCCAATTAAATTCCTGTCATTAGTCCCTGAAAAAGTTGGTGGACTATATATAGTGCATGCATATGGAAAAAATAACTAAAAAGTGTAATAGTTGCAGATGAGGGGACAGATGAGGGGTAGCAGAGAGAGCCCTAAGCACCAGCTTACCCTTCCTGTTCATGCCCATCTGGAGACACTTGAGCAAGCGGCAGTACTGGCACCTGTTCCTCTGCTTCCGAGACATGACGCAGTTCTTATCACGACTGCACCGATACACACGCTTGTTGCAGATACTCCTCTTGAAAAAGCCTTTGCAGCCCTCACAGGAGATGATCCCATAGTGCAAGCCTGTAGCACGATCCCCACAAATAAGACAGGTTCGTTGTTCAGCTCGATCATCTGGAACAGAAACTGAACATGTACAAGTTAGAGCGCTGTGGAAACAATGGGGCTAGGCTCACAGTTCCTAAAACCTTTCAGCCCTGCTCTGAGTAAATCAAAAATACCACCAACTTCAGGCTAACTGGAAAGTCACTGAAGTGTCTTCTCCAACCTCATCTGTTAGCCTTTGGGAAAGAGTTGTTTTGCCAACTAAATGCTAACAATGTTCTTTTTGTTTTGTTTTGTTTTCAAAATAATGTTTCTCTGTATAGCCCTGGCTGTTCTAGAACTTGCTGTGTAGGCCAAACTAGCCTCAAACTCAGAGAGATCTGCCTGTATCTGCCTCAAAAGTGCTGGGATTAAAAGGTGTGCGTGCACCACTGCCACCACCTAGCTTGTGTTCTTAATCTATTAACTTTGTTCTTCCTCTGTGTTATTCCTAAAACAGAGCGAAGAAAATGGGCAAATAAGCACTTTAAAGTCAAGACCAAAGTTCAGAAGATGTAGCTGAGGAAGAGCTGAGGTCCTAATGATAACAGGCATCTGAAACACTGAATGAAGTTTGTTATCTACAAAAACATCAGTGGGTAAAAACTGTCTGGGAAAAGAAAATACTCTAGGGCAGGAGAGATGGCTCAGTGGTTAAGAGCATCGACTGTTCTTTCAGAGGACCTGAGTTCAATTCCCAGCAACCACATGGTGGCTCACAACCATCTGTAATGAGATCTGGCACCCTCTTATGTCATGCAGGCATACACACAGGCAGAACACTGTTTACATAATAAACAAATAAATATTAAAAAAAAGAAAAGAGGGAGACCCAGCGCACAGACCCTGGCGGCGGATGCAGGATAGTCCAAGCATGAAACAGTGAAGCCTACACTGAGAGCAGATCGCCCCACTACTAAATCAAGTAGGTTCTTTGGGGCCTGGCCTGCAGAGTGGTAGACCTTTTATTGGCGAGGTCCACGGGCGAACGGGGAGCCTGGTCCTGACCCTGAAGACCCTCCTGAGTGGGGAGAGTGTTCTGGGCCTGCGGAGGAACACAGGAAACGAGCAGGGGCATTCCCCGACCCCCTTAACCCCCCGTTAGTCTGCGAGGGCAGGTACCCTCTGCTGGGGCTGCTCCTCCTCTGCGGCGACCTCTCCCTCCCTGGCCCATCCCAGCTTGTGCCCAGGGGCCTCCTTCACTCCCCCTCCCTTCTGCAGGGCTGCGGGATCACCCAGTTTAGCCTGTTTGGGCGCTGGGTCGGGAGCTGAGGGCAGAGGGCAGCAGGAGTTTCTTTGGTTTGGTGGCTGGCCTGCAGAGTAGTAGCCCTTTTGTTGGTGAGGTCCCTGGTGAACGAGGAGCCGGGTCCTGTGCCTGAAGACCCTTCTGAGGGGTGAGAGGGATCTTGGCCCCCGGCAGGAGCCAGGAAACAGAGCGAGGGCATTTTGTAAGAGGACCCCTGGCCAGCAGGGAAACCTGATCTGGTGTTAAAAGACCCATTAAATAGCATCGATAGGAGGAGATGGGCAGGCGCCAAGGCAAAAATCCACCCAATAATCTGAAAAACAACATGAAAACACCAGAACCCAATGATCTTACAACAGAAGGACTTGAACACCCTAACACAGAAGAAGTGGAAAAAATTGATTTTATGAAAGCAATAGAGTCCCTTAAACAACATGTGAAAAACGCCCTTATAGAAATGGATGAGAAGTATAACAAAAAGTTTGAAGAAATGAGTAAATACGTACATGATACCCTGGGAAACCAAGAAAAAACAATCAAACAGGTAATGGAAACAGTTCAAGAATTAAAAACTGAAATGGAAGCAAGGAAGAAAACACACACTGAGGACCAGCTGGATATGGAAAATCTAGGACAACGAGCAGAGTCTACAGAAACAAGCATAATCAATAGAATACGAGAGATAGAAGAAAGGATCTCAGATTCTGAGGACACCATAGAGAAAATAAACGCACTGATCAAAGAAAACAGCAAAGCCAACAAATTCTCATCACAAAACATTCAGGAAATATGGGACACAATAAAAAGACCAAAC